TATATTAAGACAACATTTAAATAGTAAATGTAATTTTAAAAGTGTCCTTTTTTTGTACATATGTTGTTTGTGAGTTGGGCTGTTTTGGAAAAGTAAAATTATTCTTTGATAGATTGTTTAGGCAGAGTATACATAATGAAATTTAGTTGAATGGACGGCAACTGCCTGTTGTAGAAACACAAGTATACAGGACGACGTTTTGAAAGTCTTCTGCCTTTCGTCTTCAGAAGGCGGAAGACTTTCGGAACGTCGTCCTGTATACTTGTGTTTCTACAACAGGCAGTTGCCGTCCATTCAACTAAATTTCATTATGTATACTCTGCCTAAACAATCTATCAAAGAATAATTTTACTTTTCCAAAACAGCCCAACTCACAAACAACATATGTACAAAAAAAGGACACTTTTAAAATTACATTTACTATTTAAATGTTGTCTTAATATAAAACTTTGCCCCTTAGCTGAATTTAACTAAATCAACCTAACTTTCCTGGTGGGTAGTTTAAAATAAAAAAGATTATCATCGCAAAGGAATGTTTTTTTTCAACCAAAAGGAAAAGAAGAGAATTTGAAAGACAAAGTGGCCACATGACACAAGTAACAGTATTTTTTCCAGCCTCTGGCAAATATACTGTGACAACATAATGTATTAAAGCAATATTTATGTTCGGTGAGGATTTCAGCAGGCCCATGAATTGAAGTGTCTTGCTAGATGTAAGCATCTATGATTGAACCATAAAAGAATTGATATATATAATTTAATAACAAGAGATCTGTTGGTCCATCTAGACCATCCCACCCACTAAACTTAAAAATAAAACTCTCAAAGCCATCCCTTACCATTCAAATATCTACCAAGCCTTCCCTTAAAGTCCCTTAAATTTACTGCAATTTGGAACTCAACTGGTTAGACAAAGAGTGCTCATGAAAACCAGCATTGTGTGAACACTGTGAAGACACAATAAAGAGTCAACTTGTCAAAGACAAGATTAACCTGTAATGTATGACAACTTAAAATAAAAAAAGGTCACTGAAATATGAATAAAATTTAAGTATTACATGAATCTACAGAGTTTAAAAAATTCATCATTGATTTATGCTAACAGTCAATACTTTTTCAAAGTAACAAGAAATATTTTACTTTTACAGTTTTTCTAAATTTATGTGTGAAATTCTAGTAAAAAAAAGCTTTTGTATAATACAGCATTATATGTTTAGATTGATAAACCATGAGTATAAAATAATAAAAAACAGAAATTAAATTTCCCAAACAGTAACATGTGATGTGCACATTTAATTTCACAAGCAACATACTGTTAAAAGTACTTTTAATGTTACGAAAATTTCTGACGTGTTTTTATTTCATTAAATTCAAGAAAGAAAAACTCAGACAACATGTCAGTTGTTAGAGATAACCTCAAAACCTTGATTATTAAACTTGAAAGACCGCAAGACAATCAAAAGCTTTGTTGGGTTAACAAACATCGCATAACTGTTCATTACGGTTATCAATCAAAGGATGTTATTAGCCATAAACAAGCCAAGATGCGTATTAGGAATATGTGACATTTCTAGGGCAAATGTCGATAACATAAAGATGTAGGGTTACATTCTTCTATTCCATAAGTTGGCACTCTACAGTAAAAATAATAAAGTTGTTGCTTAATGAAAAATAACAATAAAATACCATACATTAAATATGGAATTGTTTAGGAAGTTTACTCTTACTGTACTTCTACACGCCATTTAGCTCATTGATTTTCAATTTCAGGACTAATTATTTATCATCTAGTTATTTTAAATATAAAAATGAGTAAGACAGTCAGGTATGTGCATTATTTTATCTGTCAAAAATTATACTAATCTTGATATATTACGTTATAAAAATGAAAACTTACCAGACACAATTGTAACTGGACCTTTAAGAGAAGACATAGCCTGGCGAGTGTAATTTTTGATCAAGCAATGAATTAACGTAGATTTTCCAACTTTAGGAGGTCCAACAACAGCCACAATAACTGGTGGTGGCTCCAGAGGTGTCCGGTCAACATGAGGGATATGATGTTTCTTAGTCTGAATGTCCATGGTCCTAAAGTAAGCAGTTTCCCATTGAATTTCACAATAAATGAAACTGTCATCACTGATATAAACATCAAAATAATGCTTTTCACCAGATATTTTTTCTTGTATTTCTCTATTAGTCCTTCACTACTGTGATTAAGAAACATCTACAGTCAAGTCTAATTTCCATCACTTTTATTAGGCCTGGAAAACCTAATCGGTTTTGGATGTCTTATGCCACTGATGTAAAGTTATTTTTTTAATACATGGACCAATCTCTCTCTCTCTCTCATTAAAGACACTAACCTAGGTTTCTGAACTCGTTCAATATTCTGTCAGATTTTTGTTTTACAATCTAATGCTTCCCTCCACATATACTATCTGATTCACAAAAGAACTGAAAAGTTTTTTGTTTTTCTTTTATTTACATGAAAAGTAAGAAGCAAGTTATCAAAACGATATTGTAAGAGTGTTAAAATTAGCATCAGTTATCACTCATAAATTATTAATAAAATGTTTGTAAGTTTCTTGTACAGTTTATTTGCAAAACACAAGTCACACTTTGTCAACTTCATTTTAAACGCGTCAACTAAAGGTCATTCAAAGAAACTTTTAAAAAATACTAACTGCCATCATACTGGACTCTTTCAAATAGACTGTATGAATTTTTATCATGAATAACAACAACAAAGGGTTACTCATACATAAACAGAAATTAGAGATTTACATGTAGCATAGTTATCTTTTTCATTAATATCAAAATTGGCATTGGACCTACAAATTACAAGGTAATGAAAAAAAAATACAACTGATTGCTTAGAGAAGCTAGTACCAATAGGTGATGTAAAACTAAGATGAATTAGTAAACAACTATACTTCTCTTTTGGTTAAAATAAATTCGTTAAAAAAATGAAAGTGTGTCATACAGATATGTCAATATGGAGATACTTGCATTTAAGTTTTGCTGAAGTATTTTTATACTGACCTGCGAAATTGTCGTGCTGCTTTTTCTGCTGACTGGATTGCAAAAGCTTTAGGATTTCTTTGTTTTGCTGACAATCCATCTTCAACATCTTTTTTCTTTTTCTTCTTTTCGGCTTTACGTCCACTGTGTCGAGCACGATGGCCTTTATGATGCTCTTCATCTTCAGTCATTGTTATGTATATAGAAACCACTGAAGTATATTTCTAAAGTAGATCCAAACTGAAAGATAATAAAAAACTGAATACGAGATTAATCAAGACAAGTAAGTATAAGTCATGAACAATTTATATAAGAAACAAGAACCAAATATAAGCACAATACATCACTTATGTATTATATATATATATATACATATATATATTTAAAATGTAAGTTGTACATCATATATTTTATAATAAAGGTATTTCAAGCACAAGTACCATTATAACAGTTAATTCCCAACATACTTTATATTCTTATTGTAATTACATTGATATATCTTTGATGCTTTACTCTTATTATAATTATATAATGCTTTTAAAGTAGTTGTAACTTTATTCAAGTTATAAATAAAGCAGTTTTTCTTTATTCATGGAAAACTAATAAATTTCAATTTTTATTCAGTACACACCTGATACATATTTACTTATATCTCAAAATTGTGGGATTTGGCCTGATTTCCCATAATTTCACAGTTATAACAGTAATTTAAGAAATCACATTTTATACTTTAAGCATATACTCTCACTTTACAAGATAACTATAACTTCTGTTATTTTTATATTTTGTGGAATTAAGTTCCATACAAGCCTAGGTTCCATCAATATATCAAAAATGTACAAGTCATCAAAGAGCTCTTTGTTCAAGCTGATACACTATTGGATTATCTTTCTTCACCACTTTCAGCTACCTAAAACTTTTACTACAAGGTTTATGTCTCATTTTTACACTAGTATTTTAACTGACAAATTGATAAAAATGTCATTTACTGTACAGTTATTTCATATATCCATTTCCTCAAAAATCAAATGTGTTCTCTTCTATAAAATAACAAACAGGTTTTAATTATTCATTGAAAAAACATAGAAAATACTACTGCAAGTCCTTTATTTATAATGACCAACTAAATTACTTAAAGTAATACCATCTTTCTTGTTTACAAGGAAATAAAAAAGTATGTTAAAGACAATTTAGCCATTAAATACAATATCCATTTACTGCAAAAAATCACATCATAGGACTTGTATACTTAACAACGGATACCTACTGTTGTACCACCATCATGTCAACATTAATATAATGAAAGATGTAAATAAACTAACCCTAGAACTTCTAGTAGAAGCAGTGTGCAGACTTAATTTGTGCACTATTTGTAGTTATAGATAAATCTGACACTAAAGATTATCCCTGAACCTGCTAACCAATAACATAAAATTGAGAAATCAAGTACCTCAAAATTATCCAAATTTTCCTAGGCTAAAATAAAAATTACAGTAGTGTCTAGTTTACGTTTTACATTAAATGATTAATCCAGTGCACAAAGTGATTACAAGTTATAAATTGTGGAAGTAGTCACTACTGAGAATTATCAATCTTTAATTATAAGTAAATGGGTTATATACTGATTTTGTTACATCTTCAAATTTGTTATTAAATTTACTTGTAGTTGTACTAGTTCAGTAGTTGTAGGGATATCTGAAAATTTTTATTATTTCTTTCCTTACTCCAGCTCGCAAGATTCTGAGATGTTTCATGAGTACTTGTCTAAATATATACTTCTATTACTATTAGTAATAATAGTAATACTACGCGAAACGAAATGTCATTTTGCTTTTAAAAATTTAACTAAGTTTTATATCGCAGACACTACGCAAAGTAATCTGAAAACATCTAAATTAATTTTATTACACATGCCAGAAAAATACATAGCGAGAGACAACAAAGTTCGTTTGTAAAAACGAATGAATATTTTACTTACACAAAACTTAGAATAACCTGTTTTACCTTGATAACAAATGAGTATTTCAACTTAAACCTCAAGAGTTCAAACACTATTCACATGCACCCATTGCTCGAAATTAGGCTTAGGGGACCTAGACTATCAGTATAAGCTATTTCGTATAAAGGTTATAAAATAGGTTTTTAAAAATATTATAATATGAAAAAATAATAATAATACACAGTTATTCAATTAAATAGGTCCCCTGTAATTTGTAAAACAAAATGAAACGAAAGCTAAACACGGCTAAAATTCAGGGTTAAGTTGATAATAAAATAAGTTTAGTTGTACGTTTTACTGAGTTAATTAAACCAAAATCTCCATGCCAACTAATCACAATATCTAATGTACATGATAGTCTGAATAATATATATTAGCCGTCTTTAACTCTCAATGTCTACTAGTACTAGTCCTGATACAGCCACAATGACAAAAAGTTGGCAAAAATAAAAAGTTTTTTAAATTATTAACTAGACAATAAAGGCCGTTTTTTATTTGTTGTTGTTGTTTGTTTGTTTATTTGTTTTTTAGCTTTATTGCCAAAATGTCTACTTACACTGGCCTATTAATAGAAATACATATTATTAATACTATCCAACAACGAAAGAATTTCCTGTAAATTGCAAGATATCTATACAAATATAATAGTAGTGTCTGTTGTATGTCCATGTAACTACTTCGCAGGATATGGATATCTTCACCAAAATTGGTAGGGAGGTTCATTGGGTCCATAGGAAGATACATTCAAACTTTTGTTTTTGAATTTTGTGTTTTGCGTTTTTTTTCGCGTTTTTGCATTTTTTACCACTATCTCACCTCCTGTGGACGGATATTCACCAAATGTGGTATGGAAATTCCTTGGGTCCATGGAGAGATACACATTTTCAATTTTGCATTTTGCTGTATCTATGGGCGTTTTTGCGTTTTTACCACTACTGGCCCGGCTTAGCTAGATGATTAGGGCGTTTGACTCGAAATCTGAGGGTTGCGGGTTCGAATCCCCATCTCACCGAACATGCTCCCCCTTTCAGCCGTGGGGGCGTTATAATGTTACGGTCAATCCCACTATTCGTTGGTAAAAAGAGCAACCCAAGAGTTGGCGGTGAGTGATGATTACTAACTGTCTTACCCTAGTCTTACACTGCTAAATTAGGGACGGCTTGCTCAGATAGCTCTCGAAATTTGCTCGAAATTCAAAACAAACCCTTTACCACTACTTCGCACACTGTTGATGGATCTTCAAATTTGGCATGAAGGTTTGTTGGATTTATGCGGAGATACATGCAAATTTGCGGTTTCACATTTTGTGTTTTGCACTTTTTATGGGCGTTTTTTGCGTTTTTTACAATTACATATAAGGGTAGCAACTTTTCATGTCCTAAGATAACCTTTCATTAATCATGAATTTACATAACTCCAGCTAGTAAACAATAAATTACAAAATAACAAAAAGAGCCATTTGAAAAATTTACGAACGGTAAAACGATTAATCCATGGTGTTTACACGAACTTTCTAATATACTAGTTACTTGTACTACTGCATAGTTATCCAAATTGGTGCAGTGCTAATCTTTAGTGCTTATACTGTCATAGCACTAAAATTCGGGGCTCGATTCCCAACAACGGATGAAGCGCAAATCTCCAGTTGTGTAATTTTGAGCTAAAATAATAAACAACGACCTTATTAGAATAAACACATTTTATCAATTTGGTATGAGTGCGATAATTAATTTTTCCTCTAAATTTGTATTGTGTAATTTTTAATAAGGAAATACAAAGCCTAAGCTATGAGCATTACTCTAGAAATAAATTGAGTGTAAAAATGATTAAAATGGTAAAAAACAAAACAAAAAATCTCACTATTTTATCAACTAGTTGATATAAATGACAAAACTTTTTTAAGCCAACTATTTTTTTACTGTGCTGTCCACCTTTTTCAAAGAAAGTGACTAACATAAGTAGCAAATATGTTAGCTTAAGAATTATACAAAATCAAAGAAAAACGCTATAGATAAGCTGAATAACTGAAAAAGAAATCTCTGTAAACACTTAAAAAGCCAAAATCACTGACCATTGTATTATTTTGAAGAATGAAATTGAATTAAACGTTAAGCAAGAAAAAATTTTCAACTCCAGCACGTACCATAATTAATATTGTAGCTATAGTCTCAATGTTTGAATTTAGATGTTAGCTGAGGGTACAAGATAATAAGAGTTTAGTAACTTTGACTAATAAATACGAGTAATCACTGAATCATAAGCTAGTGAAATGTTTATTGAGAAGTTACTGAGTAGAATTCAATGCAGCATTCAATATGTATGTATATTTGAGTGTTTTATTGCAAAACCACAATTGACTATCTCCTGTGTCTATTGCGGAGAATCTAACCTCGAATTTTTTGTAAGTCCGTAAACTTACCGCTAATCCACCGGAAATATGAAGTATTCAGTGTATGAATGATAGAATAGGAGCGTGATTGGGAAAAGATTGATGGAGTAAAGTTATTCAGTAAGTGTTAGTGCTTCTGCAAGCTAACATCGAAGGGAATTTCTGTTAAACATTATTAGTATATTTCGATTAGGTATAGACTAGTTTCAAAGTTTAAGTTTGAAAGGTTTTTGTCAACTTTAGTCCTACAACTTGCGTCAAAGTAAACGTAGCCTATAGCAAACGTTATTGAAGAAATAAATTACTTTGTTTTTACCAAATAATGTAAAAGAACCCACCCAACGATAGAATACGTTACAACAACACTTTTGTAAGAACTTCTGCAATTGGACAACAGCCTATATATAGATTAACCACATTCCCTTTCCAATGTTCATCATCAGACATAACATTGGCTCACAAACACGTAAATACATCCATTTCAGGTTCTCCCGCCTCGGTGGCTCAGCGGTAAATATGAAGGCATACAATGCTAAACATTGGGTTTTGATAACCACAATGAGCAGATCACATATATCCCATTTTGTAGCTTTATGTTAAACAGCAAATACATAGTCACCTCAGTGATGAGGAAAATCTTTAGAAGTAATTGTTAGGGTGCACTAAGGTCATGATAAATAACAAAAATGAAGCTACATATAATGGTGATAACCCTGGAATGAGAACACGTATAAGATTTATCTATTAACTTATTAAAACCAGAAATCTTAATATGGAATTTTCATACACACTAATTACTTTACAGGTAAGAATAATAATTTAAGGGACGGCAGAAAATGTTGTGCAAATCTAAGCTGAGTTTTCTATTTGACTGAACTGACACAAGTTGACTGTGAAAAACAAATAGTACTCTATGCAGCAAAAGCAAACAATTACACTTCAACCAGCCCCCTATACACTAGATGAAAGATAGCGCTTCTATTAAGAAATTGCAGAGAGGCCTATACGAGAAGAAAATATTGATCATACTAAGGGAGCTAACCACAACATAGAACACACGTTTGAGTCATTTATACCGGAAGGCATGCGCGACTCATATCGTTCTTGATCGTATCAAAAGAAAAACAGCAAGGATATAGCCTCCAAGAATCACTAAATCTCTAAATAGTCTGATAGTCCATTGCATACATTGATGACTTGTCATATGCTTTGTGTTCTCATCTTATATTTTGTATCTGTGAGTGCACAAGTGGCTTTTGAGACCAGTCCTTGATGTATATAGACGTGTGAAATGGGGGCACGAAAAGTCCACTTGTCACAGATCTGTTGTTTTGACGATCTCTTGCAGCTTCCAGGCAGTTTCGTTTGTCCTCCTCCAAGACTTTACAGGCTGTTGTAGTCAAAGCACTGCAGTGGGATCTGTCCTAGGCCACATGCTCTAAAGCAGGAGGCACAATCTTGCACAACTGGAGGCTTTGCGTGATACAGTATTTGAACCTCTTCTTAGGACAACCATGGTTCCATATTCCTAGTCTAGGCTCTCCATATAAGACAACATTATTGAAGAAATAAGTTACTTTGTTATATGGATTGGATCTTACTGTAATGGAGGCAATGGTCAAGCGTTCCAATCACATAACCAGTCTATCTAAACTGAACTTTGAGGATTATGCCTCAATGCTGATGGTTTTGGCCCTGTCAAGAACTTTGTTGTTTGTGACTTTGTCTTGCCAGCAGATACCCATGATTTATCAGAGGGAGTGTATGTTAAAATATTCCAGTTGCTTGAGGTGTCTTTGATCTGGAGTCCATGTTTCACAGCCGTATAGGAGGAAGGACAGAACCGCATCTTTCTATACATTGAGCTTGTGATACTGCAATAGTTCATTACTCTAACACAGAGTCTGCTCAGAACTTGACTAGTATTGTGAATTATAAATGTAATATCTTTGTCAAGTGAACCCTCATTGGAAAGAGTACTTCCAAGATATTTGAACTCCTGGACGATGTTCAGTTGAGTTCCGTCAATCTGAATAGATGGAATTGGAGCATATATGCTAGAAAGGGCTGGAAAAGAATTTCAGTTTTATCTAGACTAATAGTCAAACCAAAGAGCTAAGATGCTTCTGAGAATCTATTCACAATGCACTGAATACCATACTGAGTGTGAGCCATGAGAGCACAGTAAAATATTAAAGAGTACTAGTGCAAGCAGCATCCTTGTTTCACTCCATTGGAAATTTCAAAGATGTCTGATAAGCCACCATTTGAGAGTACCTGGGCAGTCACGTGTTCATGAAAGAGTTTTAGTGATGTGCATAAACTTTCTCGGAAGGTCTTGTCTCTCAAGAATTGCCGAAAGACCAACCCTGTTAACCATGTCAGATGTCTTTGTTAGCTCATTTAATACAGCATACCGGTCCATTTTTTGCTTGACACGTTTCTCCTGGACTTACCTCACCAAGAATATCATGTCCACTGTACTGTGTTCTGGTCTGAAATCATACTGCACTTTGAGTAAGATATCTTCTGAGATAGTGTTAACAAGGCAATTAAGGATTTTGCCAGAAATTGAAAGGAGTGAAATTCCCCTGTAGCTGTCACAATCGGCTTTGCTGCCTTGAAGTTATCGTCACAATGATGGTATCTTTCTAGTTAGGTGGAATTTCTTCCACTTCTCATATACTGGTAATGATGCTATAAAAAGTCTTGATCGCTGT